TGTTAAATTTTGAAATTTCTTGCTTAAGAAAAACAATCTAAAGGAAAAATTGAATAAAACACTTGATATTTTAAAATTTGATATGTCATACTTGGCGAAGATCACATGTAGCACCCTTGTCATGTGAAGAACCCTTGTTAAGTGACGTATGTAATCAGAGAGAACTTGAGAACTCAACACTAATAAAAAAAGTAATTGGGGAATCAAGAAATTCAGCTCAAGCATTAATGCTAATAAAGACATCTTGAATGAAGTCGGTTGAGATCACTCAAAAGATATTTTTGTATTCGACAAAAAAAATTCAGAAATCACTTCGTAAATAAGTTCCCATTGAAATAGTTTTTAGAAATTGTTGAATTTATTTATAATGATGACGTTCTTTAAGCCATTCTCAATATAACCATATGTCATGATCCTTTCTCATTAATTACCTCATGAGCAGTAATGGGCTTGAACCAACGCGACTAACTTTGATAGGCAAAAGTGAACCCCGATAGAGAAATTAAATATGATAATTATAATACCTAATAATTATCTACGGAATCTCAAAACAAGACCAATAAAATACTGTCCTCTACAACTAAATTATTGATATCATAATCAAATCTACAAATAAATTAGCATATAAAAATGTGTGCGACACACCCACACCATGGATACACAATTCGCGACGAAATTTAGCCAAAGAGATCTGCAATTAGTGAAAGTATACGCAGTTAGTTCAACAGTTATAAAATTTAGGTAGGGTATTTTACCAATTGAACTGGTAGGAGAAAGGAAGGTTTAGAGAAACAAAGAAGCATGGGAGTAAAATTTGCGAAAGAATTCACGGAAGAGTGAGGATTGAGCAGTGAAGTGTAGGATCTCTTTATTAGTGCTTTTAGAGAGGTCTTTTTGTAATGTGTGGAGGATAGATATATATTACTTATTGTTTAGATTTAGAGACTCTTTTAAGTAATTACCTATAAATTCAGAAAAACCGACGATAAGCCCAATGGTCATGGGGAGATAAATTGTCCATCTCGTTAAGAATAAGAACATTGAATATACGACTCTAACCTTTAATGTTGCTTACTTCAGCACATAATTATTTCATTCTAGATAAGGCAACAATGTCAAGTGCATCACCATCTTCTCTCATCCATGGTAAACCTACATTTGCATAAAATATTAACCTTTCAGTTGTAGTACAATATGAAATTGGTCGTTCCATACATCATAACAGTCACATTCTCTAATAGCAAATATACACTATCCAATTGAATATTTTGTCAACTCTTATCCGCCATAGGACATGAAAATCTGAGGTGTATCGATTTCAATGACCACATTTTATTTGACATAAGGCAAAGCATAAATTCATAAAAAGTATTCCAACAATAGTTTTTTGAGATAGAAACTGTACACAACCAAACCACAAAAGATTGAGGAAGAAAAATAAAGAATCTGGGCAAGAGAAAAACAGAGAGAAAAGGGATGACACATCTGAATGTCTTTCTTCAATTTCCTTGTGTTTTTATTCTAGATTAGGATCAGTGTTCGTCAAGCCATATTATGTTAAAAGCTTGGGTGTGATTACAAGAGAGAACAACGTAGTTATTTTGATGGAGGTCATTTATCTTTCATTGGTAATTACATCAAACACATTGCATCAAGATTCAAGGCAATTTTCTTTTTATTTCGGTAGTTAGCAGTTAGGCTACTGACACAGAATTTTCAAAGAGACATACATCTTATCTTATATTAACAAATTAAATAAGTTGAAAAAAAATGAAGGAAGCAGAAAAGCTAACTGCAAAATCAAAATCAAATTCCTCATGGAAGTTCTTTTCTTAACCCAAAATTTCAATTATAGTTTCTTCTTTAACACTGTGTCTTTGTAAACAGAGAATTGCAACCATACTACATCACAAAGTAAGAAAATTCGAGAAAAAGACATGAATGAATAAAACTACACCTTAAAATGGTATGAAATTATTGAAAATCTTCAGAGATCATCCGTGCAGAATGGGAGTTATAACTTAAGAAGAGGCTTCATTAAATCAAATGCTCCATGCTTATTCTAGAGAAGCCTTGTTGATGATGAAAGGTGTAACAGATATTTTCTAGTTCGTGGATATTAGGTAGCCACGTAATTAGAATTACAAAATATCTTAACGAATAGAACTTCCACTTCCTGGTTTTACTTGAACTATTTGCCCTTCAAATGAACATTTATTTTCAATAATGCCAGTGGTCGTCCATCTTGTTGGCTCTTCTATAATATAGTAATATGTGTGTGTACGCGCGCGCGTTATATATATATATATATATATATATAAATGTGTATATATATATAAATGTATGTATATATATATATATATGTATGTATATATATAGATATATATATATACATATCTATATATAGATATATATATATATACATATCTATATATATATATATATACATATACATATATATACATATCTATATATATATATACGTATCTATATATATATATATATATGTATGTATGTATTTAGTTTAAAAAACTTTCTTCATTTTAGCTCCAACATTGTTTTTCTTTCTTTTTTTTATATACAAAAAATTTATATCTTCTAAATATGAATATAAAGGAAAATCAACAATTTTCTTTCTTCTTCACTCTTAGTATGTATGTATATATATATATATATATATATATATATATATATATATATATATATATATATATATATATATATATATATATATATATAAAAAAAAATCTTGAAGTTATTTGAAAAATAATAAGATTTTGTAATTTGAGAAAGAATGTGTTTTGGGGAAGAAGATGAAGATGAAAGGGGGTTGAGTTGGATAGAATAGATTGACATTTTCATTTTTTCTTTTTCTTTTTTAAAAAATTAGATATTAAATGTGTGTGTGTTTTTAATATAATTTTCAGGGCCCAATATCAAATGTTATTTTTTAATTAGTCATTTGACACGTGACCGTAAGTGTATGACACAAGGAAAGATTTTTGAATAGGTAAAAGTATTCAATTGGTATTAGACTTAATTAAATTATTTAAGTAAATTATGCGAATAACTTTAAGAGACCGCTGATGACTCAAGTCATTTTCACCTAAAATATGTCTTCAACAGTCTCCCCCCTTCCCCATTTTAATCCAAAAACTTTTACCCCAAAAGTTAAAAATTGCAAAAGATCAAAAGCCCCCCCCCCCCCCCCCCCCACCGGGGTTCCCTCAAAACCCATTTAATAAGAATCTAAATATCTTTTCACTCTTCCCATGTCCTCCCTTTCTCCATTTGTTCAATTTTTTTGTGTCTAACGTTTTGTTGTTTTTCTTTGTAGATTTTACATAGCATTCTTCAAAAAAATGAGATTAGTTTTTACTATATGAAATTTTTATTTACTGAATCATATGCTCTAAATTTTCCATTATGTATAGATTCAAGAAAAGATCGAATTACAAATAATTTATCATGCACAATTATATTCTATATTTTTGCAAGAGATTATTGTACTAACTTGAGTCGATGGCTATTATAATGGATTGTCTATGACTAATGTAAAAGAAATATTCTGCTCCTTTGTTTTTTTGTATTATTTTTTATTTGCTAAACATTGATCATAAATATATATATTTTTTCTTTGAAATTTTAAAATCATTACGTTTTTGGTGCCAAATATTTACCATTATTAATAGGCATATTCATGGAATAAGAGAATACAAATGACAAATTGAAATCGATGTTGAGCAAGTTAAGGTGCAATTGAAGATTGTAAGAGATTATTGTAATGGATTGTCTATGATTAATGTAAAAGAAATATTCTGCTCCTTTGTTTCTTTGTATTATTTTTTATTTGCTAAACATTGATTATAAACAAATATATTTTTTCCTTGAAATTTTAAATCATTACGTTTTTTGTGCTAAAATATTTACCATTATTGATATGCATATTCATGGAATAAGAGAATACAAATGACAAATTGAAACCGATGTTGATCAAGTTAAAGTGCAATTGAAGATTGTGGAAGGAGAGATAGGAGAAGACTATGTTACTTTGGACTCAAAAAAGATGATGTCTTACAAGAATTATATATTTTTACTATTCTCAAAATTTTAGAATACAGTTATGTGTAAGTTGAGACTTATTTTGGAATATCAAAAATGTATTCATGGTTACATTATGTAACTTTTTTTGACTAACAAAGCTTGTGAAAAATCCTTTCAAATTAGTAGTAACAAAATTGTTAAAATTTATATTTTAGCTACATTATAAAAATTCTTGTGATTAATAATGTTTATGTCAGTAGTTTTTAATTGGTTGCAATGAATTTTTGTAATTACGAATAAATATATATAATTATAAGAAATAAGGAGATAAATTTTCATTTTTCAAAGCAAAATTAAAAATATTAGCTATAATTTATGAATGTCGTGACAAAAAGTTTGAAATCTTAGCTTTTAATTTGTGAAAAAAATATTTATGGCAAATGCTCTAATTTTATAGCTATAATTTTTTTAATTTGTAGCATAATAGAAGTATCATTGTCACAAAATTAAAAATATGAAATAGCCCCAAATTTTAAATTTTCATAACAAACAAATAGTCATTTGCTACAATAGAATATATTGTGTCTATAATATAAAATTTGCTATAGATTTAATTTATTATAGCAAAAGAGTAAAGATATTTTACAAGTATATATTTTGTAGCAAGAAATTTGTACAATTTTAACTACAATCCAATATTTTTAATAGCTATAAGTAATCCGAAAAATTTTATATTTAGCTACAATATATTTTGAATAAAATGTATTTTCTTATAGTAAATGTGCACCAAATGAACATGTTAAAAACGACTTAATTAATATAATTATGCCTCATAATACATTGTTGCAAAGATAATGTAAAAGAGACTTTCTGAAAATGAAACGTGCATCTTAACTATAATTTTATAATATTAAAATGCTCCAAAACCAACATAACCTTTAAATTTGAACCTTCTAAGTCAGTTATTTTACATGCGTTATAATATTAATTGATCATATCGGAATTAATTTTTTAAGAAAAAATAAACAAAAATAATATTTATCTAAAAGTATTTCAAAAAAATATACTTCTAAAAAGAAGTAATATCAAACAATTTTTTTATTCTTAGTCAGTCTTTTACATATATTATAACATTTAATTATCTGATCGTGCAAATCTCGATTAATTTTTTGAAAAAATAAACAAAAAAGTAACAATATGGTATGAAATAGTCGTCGGGGTAAGTGATGAAATTGAAAAAAATCAAATATATAAAAGAAGGGTTGCATGCGTATTTATTATATGAAATATTTAGTTTTTTTTTCTTCTTCATATTTGCTTCGATTTTCTATTTAAAATAAATATCATTTAAACATTCTTAGTCAATCCTTTATATGTGTTGTAACATTTAATTATTTAATTTGTTATATCTTGAATTACTTTTTAAGGAAATATATAATTTTATGTTTTATATAATATTATTTGAATAAAATCTTCGTAGTACACTTTTTTATAGTCAAAGTATATTCCTAAGAGTGATAATTAATAAGAATATGCTAAAATATATTATCTCTCCTTCTTCTATTCATCAGTTCTAATTGAATGCATATGAGTCGGACATTTGAATTATTGACATATTTGTATTATTTTACAACTGTTGTAAAGAAAGCTCAGAATTTAAGAAGAAAAAGACAAGAAGTATAAGATAGAGGAGAAAATTTTTTCTTATTCAAGTGTATCTTCCAAATGGTGAGTGATTCTCTATTTATAGTATTGAGATATCACTCCAAAAGTCATTTAATTAATAGATACATAGTTATCTTGGAAATATTTATCACCTTGAAAGCACCTATACATGAACTCATTTAATAGTGGATAAATCTAATGGATAATCCACATATACTATACAATGGATTTACAACACTCCCCCTTGGATATCCATAGATTATGTGCCTCGTTAAAACCTTACTAGGAAAAATCCAGTGGGAAAAAGCCTAGTGAAGGAAAAAGAGTACACATATCCCATAATACGCTTTGAATGTTGTCTCGTTAAAAACCTTACCAGGAAAATCCAACTTGGGACAAAACCATAGTTAAGGAAAAGAGTATAACGCGTATTTCGCTCCCCTTGATGAAAACTTTACTTGATATCTCGGAGACGGCGCATTCCAATCTTGTATCTCAACTTCTCAAATGTTGATGTTGGCAATGCCTTAGTGAATAAATCAGCAAGATTATCACTTGAACGAATTTGTTGAACTTCTATCTCACCATTTTGGTAAAGATCATGCGTGAAAAAGAACTTTGGTGAGATATGCTTTGTTCGGTCTCTTTTGATGTATCCTCCTTTCAATTGAGCTATACATGCAGCATTATCTTCGTACATTATGGTTGGTATATTCTTTTTCAAAGAAAAACCACCCATTTCCTGAATATGATGGGTCATTGATCTCAACCAGACGCACTCTCGACTTACTTTATGGATGGCTATTATTTCTGCATTATTTGAAGAAATGGCTACCAACGTTTGCTTCGTTGATCGCCAAGATATTGTCGTGTCTCCACATGTAAACAAATAGCCTGTTTGTGATCGAGCTTTATGCGGATTAGATAAATACCCTGCATCTGTGTAACCAATCAGTTCTGACTTGGATTCATTGGAATAGAATAAACCCATGTCCATGGTCCCCTGAAGATATTGTAGTATGTTGTTTAACACCATTCCAATGTCTTTTTGTTGGGAAGGAACTGAATCTTGCCAGTAGACTTACTGCAAAACAGATATTTGGTCGAGTATTGTTAGCAAGGTACATTAGTGCCCCAATCGCACTAAGGTAAAGAGTTTCATCACCAAGAAGCTCTTCATCATTCTCTTGAGGTCGAAATGGATCTGTATTGATGTCAAGCGATCTGACCACCATTGGAGTACTCAATGGATGTGATTTATCCATGTAAAAATGCTTTAGTATATTTTATGTGTACGTTGATTGATGAACAAGTATTCCATTTGACAAATTCTCAATCTGTAGGCCAAGACAAAATTTTATCTTATCGAGATCTTTCTTTTCAAATTCTTTTTTCAGACACTCAACAACTTCTATAAACTCTTTGCGAGTGTCAATGATGTTCAAATCATCAACATACACAGCTATTATTACATATTCAGACCCCGACCGTTTAATGAAAATGCAGGGACAAATCGGGTCATTTTTGTACCCTTTCTTTAACAAATATTCACTCAGACGATTGTACCACATCCATCCTGATTGTTTCAATCCATACAGAGATTTCTAAAGCTTTATTGAACAAGTTTCTCTGGAATCTTTGTATGCTTTAGGAATTTTCATGAAAATGTTGTGGTCCAATGAGCCATATAGATAGGCTGTGACAACGTCCATTAGACGCATTTCAAGTTTTACATGAACTGTTAGATTCATGAGATATCTGAAGGTGATTGCATCTACCACTGGAGAATACGTCTCCATATAATCAATGCCAGGTCTTTGAGAAAAACCTTGAGCAACGAGTCGGGCCTTATATCTCATGACTTCACCTTTCTCATTTCTTTTTCGTATAAAAAACCATTTGTATCCCATTGGCTTGATTCCTTCAGGTGTTCGGATTATCGGTCCAAAATTTTTACGTTTTTCTAGTGAAGCCAATTCAGCTTGAATTGCATCCTCCCATTTTGGCCAATCATTTCTCTGTCTACATTCGTGAACAGATTTTGGCTCAAAATCTTCATCTTGTTGCATTATTTCAATGGCAACATTATAGGCAAATATGTTGTCAATCACAACATTATTTCGGTTCCACAACTTTCTCGTCGATACACAATTCATTGAAATTTCATTGTTTTCAGAAGTTCGAACCTCCTCATCATTATGTGTTATGACTTGGGTCTCATCTTGAGAAATTTCTTTCAACCCATGATCATCTTGATCATTTATTGCTTTTCTCTATCGAGGATTTTTATCCTTGGAACCAATTGGTCTACCACGCTTCAAATGTGGTTTAGACTCGTTTGCTTTAACAATTTGTCCCGTCAGAATATGAACTCGAACTGGAGCATTAACAGCTGGAATATGTAATTTAGTAATCCTTGGAAGATTAATAAATGCATATGGTAGCTGATTCGCAATGTTTTGCAAATAAATTATTTTTTAACTTCTTGCTCACACTGGTTTGTTCGAGGATCCAGATGAGATAGAGATGATAAATTTCAATCTATCTCTTTTCCCAACGACTTATGTTCTCCCCCTAATGTTGGGTATACTGATTCATCAAAATGACAATCAGCAAATCTTGCCTTAAATAAATCTCCAGTCATAGGCTCCAAATATTTTATGATTGAAGGAGATTCATACCCAACATATATCCCCAACCTTCTTTGGGCCCCCATCTTTGTGCGTTGTGTGGAGCAATTGGGACATACCGCACATCCAAAAATTCTAAGATGGGAAATGTTTGGCTCTTGACTAAAAGTCAATTGTAATGGGGAGAATTCATGATAATTGGTCGGCCTTATGCGCACAAGTGCTGCTGCATGCCAAATAGCATGCCCCCACATAGACACAAATAACTTTGTTCTCATTAGTAATGGTCTAGCTATCAATTGCAGACGTTTAATCAATAATTCTGCTAGACCGTTTTGAGTGTGAACATGTGCAACTGGATGTTCAACTGTTATACTTGTAGACATACAATAATCATTAAATGCCTGAGATGTAAACTCATCAGCATTATCTAGGCGGGTTGTCTTTATTGTATAGTCTGAAAATTGTGCTTTCAATCTTATTATTTGAGCCAGCAATCTCGCAAAAGCCATGTCGCGAGTTGATAATAAACACACATGTGACCATCTTGTAGAAGCATCTATCAAGACCATATAATATTTAAAGGGTCCACATGCAGGTTGAATTGGTTCACATATATCACCCTGTATACGTTCCAGAAACGCAGGGGATTCAATTCCAACTTTAACTGTTGATGGTTTAATGATCAACTTTCCTTGAAAACAAGCAGCACATGAGAATTCCTTTGATTGAAGGATATTTGGGCTCTTTAAGGTGCGCCCATGTGAATTCTCAATGATTTTGCACATCATATTAAATTCGGGATGGCCCAATCGGTCATGCCAAATGATAAAATCATTAAAATTAGTAAACTTTTTGTTTACTACGGCATGTGATTCAACTGTACTTATACTTGTATACTACAACCCAGAAAAAAGTGCAGGTAATTTTTCATGCACAATTTTCTTCTCTATATTAATTGTAGTAATGTAAAGGTATTCAACATTTCCTTCATTAGTCGTCTCAACATGATAGCCATTTTGACGAATAAATTTGAAACTTAATAAGTTTCTCTGAGACTTACTACAATATAATGCATTATCAATGCTTAATATTGTCCCTCCAGATAGTATTAAGGTTGCTCTTCCAGAGCCCTCAATTAATTTTGTACTACCTGATATTATTTTTTTTTATATGTCATTTTCATAACCAAATTAGAAAAGTATTTCTTTTCTTTTAATATTTTATGCGTTGTAGCACTATCAAGAAGGGATACATCTCCATTACTCATCTTGAATCCAACTGACAACTGGGGATTTCTATTAATTTTCATTAAAATAAAGTACATTAAAAGAAGGAAGAAACAAAATTAACAAGAAAAATTTAAATACTTCAACACGAATAAAATAATAATTAAAAACACATAACTTAAATATTATGTAAAATATTAACAGACTTCATTCCCCAGCTAAAAGATCAAACATCAGTTTCGATCTCCAAAGAAGTCATCAACTTCCATATGAGTAATGTCACCAAGGCCATCAAAAATATCATCTTTTAAAGCCCAATTTGCTTCAACATCCTTATCATATTTCTGAGATGTTCCCGGCTTATCATCATCTTTAAGAGTCATATGTGACTCAGCTCGAGCATTGGAAGAGGAAACACCACTTTTATTTTCTTTCTTTTTAAAGGAATTTTGATAGAGCCTTACAAAATGCTCATGTGTGCGACATTCATTCTTCCAATGGCCTTTCATGCCACAACGACGATAATTACTTTTTGAGGGATTATTTTGAGAACTCATGTTGTTCTCCCTTTTATTATGACCACCACCTTGACGATTAGTGTATCGTCTTTTATTTTTGCCACGTCCCCGTGCATTATTATAGCCCCGATGATCATCTCTTTTTACTTCAGATTGATCACGTGCTTCCACCACATTTGCCTCCGGTAATGGAGCAGCTCCAGTGGGACGAACTTCATGATTTTTCATTAAAAGAACATTATGTTGCTCAGCCACCAAAAGACATGAGATTAGTTCAGAATATTTCTGAAAATTCTTTTCACGATATTGCTGCTGCAATATAACATTTGAGGCATGGAAAATAGTAAGTGTCTTTTCCAACAAGTCCTCATCTTTTATAGTCTCCCCACATAATTTTAACTGGGAGATTATCCTGAATACAACAAAGTTGTATTCAATTACGGTCTTAAAATCTTGAAACCGTAAATGCATCCACACATAACGAGCTCTTGGCAACACTAATGCCTTTAAGTGGTCATATCACCCCTTTCAATCAGTTCACAATTCAAGTGAATCTTTTATCGTCAAATATTCAATCTTCAGGCCCTCATCAAGATGATGACGAAGAAAAATCACAGCCTTCGCCTTATCTTGACTCGATGCTTCATTTCCCTGAGTAATAGTGGCATCAAGACCTTTAGCAGCCAAGTGAATCTCAACATCGAGTACCCATGAAAGATAATTCTTTCCAGAAATATCTAATGCCACAAACTCAAGTTTGGATAAATTCGACATAATGAAATTGTGAGAGAATATGTGAATCAAATAAAAATATTTATATAATACATTTTCAAGTAGCAACTTCGTGCTGATAACGTGTTGTAAAGAAAGCTCAGAATATAAGAAAAAAAAAGACAAAAAGTATAAGATAGAGGAGAGAATTTTTCTTATTCAAGTGTATCTTTCAAATGGTGAGTGATTTTCTATTTATAATATTGAGATATCACTCCAAAAGTCATCTAATTAATAGAGACATAGTTATCTTGAAAGTTCTTATCACCTTGAAAACATCTATACATAAACTCATTTTATAGTGAATAAATCTAATAGATAATTCACTTATACTATATAATGAATTTACAACAGCAACAATAATATAATTTACTTTTGCTTCATCTGTAACATGTATTATAGTTAAAGTCCACAATATCGATTTGAATGTTTTTGTGAACATGTGTTCACTAATATTTTGAAATTGATGCACAAATTCTTTTTCATGTAAGATATTTAATTTTTATGCATTTACGAGGCAACTTTAATTGTGTACTTTTCTCTCTCCTTTTAATTATGGATAGATTGTCAAACTAGTTAAATATTTTTTTTATAGTTTCTCTTTCATTAATTTCTTTTTGCCTTCTTTATATTTTGGCTTTTCTTTCTAATTAGGGGATAGATGGTCAAAAACTCAATATAGTCAAATATTTTTTTCCTAGTTTTTCTAATGGATATATAATTAGAAAATCATACAAAATAGCTCTAATCGTAAAATTGTAATCCAAATTAGACTCAACTCAAATTGTCTAGGGCAATTTACATAAATAATATATTATTATTAAAAATTTACGAATTATAACATATCTTTTATTCTTACACAAATTAATCTTACTTTTCTTACCACAAATAGCATCAACCAACATATCTTAACATAAATGGTCAATTCATTTTAAAAATATAATACATTTTTAACATATCTTAAAAATAATAATTCTAATTATATTAAGACAATATTCAAAAATTAGATATAATACATTTTTAACATCGCCAATAAGAGAAAAATATATATAAAAATTGTAATAATTATTTATGAGGGAGTTATGTATATATTCTAATGAAAATGCATTAATTTGTAACATAATTAGAAATGGGAAGTGACAAGTCAAATAATATTATTATTGTAATGAAAAAGCATTAATTTGTATGTAACATAATAGGAATGAAAATTAATAGGAATGAAAAGTGACGTGTTATTACAAGTTAATTAATATTATTGCCCTTTTTTTTAAATATATATTTTATGTAAGAAATCTAGGTAGATTTCCTTTGGCTCTCTATATAAAGCGCATTATTTCACATCATTTTATATAAGTTCATCTCAATTCTCTTTCTTTTCTCTCTTTACCTTATATATTATACTTTCAATCAAAATTCTGATGAACTCTCTATTTGGATACACTTTGGTAACAAAACCAAAAGAAGTTCTCTCTCTGATTGTAAATCTTCATCTGCAAATACTTTGTTGGACTTCAATTATCAAAAAATGTGAGGGCTCCTGCCGACTTTTTGGCGGTAGGATTGGAGTGCTTGAGGCAGATTAAAAAAAAAGCGATTGATTACTCGTAAGCACAAAACCTTTCATCTCCGTCTTTTTCACTCTATTATTGAATTGTTATTAGATTCAAATTCAATATAGTATAGATGAATACATAATAAATGTATTAATCTTTTTCCTTCACCACTACATTAATTGTTAGCAATTAAATCATACTAATTTTGTGTACGTATGTTTGAAGCACTTTTTAAAGGGGAAGCATCATGCTCATTCTTTTGAAAATCATTTATAATTGAACATCAACTTTAATCTGTATAAATTTAGATTATTCATCTATTCAAATAGATATCATATTAGATGTAATATTGATCTTTTCAGGATTTTTGTTAAAAATAAATTATTACAATTATAGATTTATATGAGAACATCTTTTATTTAAATTGGGTAGATCATAAATTTCAAATTGAAGAGCTAATACTCAATACTTTCATGGATTCTTCAGATTTATTGGTAATAATAATGATTTTGTAAACATTTATCATGTTGAATGTATTAACTCTCTTATGTGTTAATACTCCTTAGATACACATATGCATTTCATGCATTTTTATCTTGAACATTATCAATTAATTCATTTTCTTTTCCAAGAATTGACTTAAATATGCCAAAACAAATGTCTGATTTTAAATTTATTTTGGACACGTATTTTGGAACTGTTTTCCATTAACAAGCATTGACGTTGATGAACCTATTCTCAAACAAAAATGATATAGAGGAGTCAAACTTTTAACGGATGATTTCTTAAATTTTGATGACATACTTGAATCTTTTTCCTTATATTTAAAATCAAATCAAAATGAAGAATAAAAAAGAATAAATAAAATCAATATAAAAAAAACAACCAAGGGAGGTAAAAAACAAATTATGTTGTGTTTGAGAAAATTTAAAATACAAAGGTAATCAAAAATTTTAAAAGATGTATTTAAGAAAATTTCAAATACAAGACAGTTTTTCTTATACATGTATTAACTTGAAAATAAGATTATTTTTTTAAAAAAATATATAAATGAAAGAAAATATTTATACACATATATATCACCGTAATTGATTGAATTGGATCTTAATTCACATCAGCATAAAATAAGTATCAAAATATAGAACAAAAGAGTACGGTTGAGGGGAGGATGGGAGAGTAATATGGCCCTAATTAAGTTTAGGCATATCAAATAAAATTTTGAGTATAATTCAGAATGATATTTATGCATATCCCTAGAAAATATTTACATAATCAATTATATAGGAGTTAATTATGTATATATTATAGTGAAAAAAACATTAATTTGTAATATAATAAGTGAAATGTTCATACAAGTCAAATAATATTGTTATTCTAATGAAAAATCATTAATTTCTAACATAGAAAGAATGGAAAGTGACATGTTTTAATAATATTATAATTGTAATGAAAAAACATTATTTGTAACACAATAAGAAGGGAAAGTGACGTGTTATTACCATATATATTTAAGGTAAACTTTCTTTCATAGATTTCCTTCACCAGTGCATTGCTAGCAGTTAAATCATATTAATTTTGTGTACTTATAATGTATGGAGTCTCTTTTTTTTGTTTTTTAAAAAAAAGGGGAAGCCTCATTCTCATTCATTTAAAAATATTTTATAATTGAACATCAAGTTTAATCCATGCATCTGTATAAATTTAGACTATTTATCTAATCAAATAGATATGAAATTAGATGAAATGGAGGATAATAATTTTTACGGAGGTGTAACCTTTTTAGGATTTTTTAAAAAAGATATTCGATACAATTATAGATTAATATGGGACCATCTTTTATTTAAATATGGGTAGATCATATATTTCAAATTTGAAACTCAATATTTTCACGGATTCTTCAAATGTAATTTATATATTTGCAATAATAACTATTTTTTAACATTTAGGTAATTAAGTGAATATGTTTGTAACTAATTGTCAATTAGCTAATTACCTGGACTATTAAGACACACACACAACCTGCACCCAAATTTTTAATTAGAGAGAATTGTAAATTCTAAAGAAAATGTAGAAATTCTACTATTAAGACTAGCATAAATGAATATTTATAATTACTCCAAATTATCATAAACACCACACCTCTAATAGGGTTGATTATTATCTTTTTGATCCAAATATCTTTAAATGTTCAAAATCTGATGCACTAACTTCAATTTTTTTTTCCATGTGTTTCTATCTCTTGGCTCTTATTTATATATGGGAACCCTTATGACTCACTCTCGACGCGGTCCCAAAGGGACCTGATGAAGTTGACCTTCTCGTGTTGGGCTTGTCATTTTTCAAGATTTCTTTGCGATTGATCATAAATTATTTTTCCTGTCTTGTCTCTTGCCTAGGATTTTGCCTTCTCACTATAATTTTCAATACAACTAGACCTGAATTATCCAGCCTTACCACTTCAAAAAGTGTAATGATGTACTGATTCTATTGTGAGAAGACAAAATAAATTCTAGGCAAAAGCTAAAGGGCTTTGAAAAATATATTTTTGACAGTCATATCAAAATATTGCGAACGACTCACCTAGCCCCTCTCAATGGGAAGTCCATTAATTTATCATTAGGAGATCCATCGAGAGCGAACCATAAAGTTTTTCTAACTATGAACAAGAGGGATTCAGAGACAGAAAACACATGAAAGGATGTGGAGTACTTAGCACATTGCTTTTGAAGTACTTTAAAGGAGATTCGAATCAAGAATCAACCCTACTAATTGAGGATGTCGTTTATGATAATATGGAATAATAAGAATTCATTAATGCTTGCCCGAATCCTAGATTTTTTTTTATTTTCTGAAAATCACAATTCTCTCCAGAATTTATATATCAAAGTAAGAAAGTTAGAATTAAGCTTAAAAAAAATATTCCACCACTTGTAACTTATTTTTTGAGGCATCAGACGTAGTGATAACATGTTCTATTCTTGTTTGTGATCGAATGACTTCTGCTTTGTTTAATCTGAGTTCCACTTTTTCATATGTATATGTTAGATTCAACCTCGATGTAATAGAAGTGTCATAAGAATATACAACTTTAATTTCAAACCTACCTACCCACCACACAACCAAAAAAAATAATAATCATAATATTGATGTAAAATTAGGGATAATACGAAGTAAAAGAGATCTAAGTGAATTCTCCTTGGCTCTCTCTCTATATAAAAGTGCATTATTTTACGTCATTTTATATAGTTTTCATCCTAATTCTCTAAATCCAAATTGGGTGGACCTGTTTGTCTTCTTGATCATGTTTTTTTCTTTATTACTCCATTTTAAAAAGAATTGTGTTATGAGCGTTTAATCATCAATTTTTAGATTTTTTTCTTAAAAAATCATAATTTTCAATATAAATCTGTAATCGTTTCGATTAGGGTGGATTATTTATTTTATAAGAAA